TGCTCAATGTACCAGAGAGATTATTCTGTTTTTATTAAATCAAACTTCATTCAACAGTACTCTGTACTAGAGCGATTATAATCTCTGAAGAAAAAAGTCATTGCACAATTAAAGAGAAAAGCATAAAAGGCTTCTTTGACCTTCAAAATGTCAAAAGCAGCAGCTAATAAAGTTGTACTTTCCCAGAATATTTCTTTTTACCTTTTTTGTTAATTGCCAGAGGGTGTGTGCATGAGAGAGAGAGAGGGAGAGAGAGGGAGAGAGAAGGAGAGAGAGAACACCCCAACAGTGTGTGGTCATGCCACAAACCTTTTTCCTCTACTTCTCTTTCCCATCAGGACTGATCCCTGAGATCAGAATTCAAGCCATTTTCAGCCACACGGAATCCAGTTCTGACTCTCTTAACCACTGAGCTATGGGGCTGGACCTCCCCAAATCTTTCTGTCAATTACAGAAGGGTTCATCAGCAATTTCATCACAGGGGAAAGACTGATGAATCTGAAATTCGGGAGTGAGGGTTTGTGCTAGGAACAGATGTATCGTCAGCCCAGGAGACTCGACAAGAAGGAGTAGGGATTTTAAGAAGGAAGAGTCCACGAAAACTCTCCAGGGTATCAGGACACTGCTTCATATAGTCAAGATTTGGCTCTGACCCTTCAGACAAGGCTGCCTGCTAAACGTTTGGAAATGAGCCAGTGAGCCAGTGTTCTAATTAGCACCCACTTTTCCCCCCAGCAGCAATGAGGGCTTCTCTCAGGCATGAAAGAGGATGAAGTCCTCTTTTTCAATGGCGAGCTCACGGCATATAACGTAAATTTCTTCATTCCTCCTGCAGGACTGAGCGTTTCAGAATGTGCCTTCTGGGCCTCCACAAGCAACAACTGGGGTTCAGAATCCTGTCCTACTGAGCGAAGGCTGAGGATCAGGCACCCTGCTCGTCCCCACTCAGCAGCTGTTGTGGGGAAAGCACTGTCACAATGGGGGCCCATGGCCTCTGCCTTCTTGGACCACCCCACAGAACTCATTTCTTCCGCTTATCAATTCTCAGGAGTCCACCAACATTTCCTGTCTCCAAATTCAGTCCCGTTTTATAGTATTGGTATTTTTCTACATATGAAAACATTGTATTTGTTATTGTTGTTATTGTTTTGTTTTTGTATACTACCGGAGGGTATGTTTGCCAGAAAGATGGAGAGAAACAGAGGAAGAGAAGGAGAAAGCACTCCCTAATGGGGTGTGGTCACGTCACAATCCCTTCTCCATTTCTCTATCCTGTTGGGATTTGGGGCACATATGCACATGCACCAGGCATGTTTTTTAAGCTTCTAGGTCCAGCACTTGTACTGCAGATGGCCATGTGGGATCTGCTCCATTAACCACTAGACTATGGGGCTGGCCCTGGAAATACTGTTTCATTATTAGACCAGACTATGTAAATCACTCCAACGGATTCTCTGAGAAGAACACAGTTGTGCTCCTTTTGCAAAAAAACTTGATTATTTTTGCACTGCTAAAATGTTCTTCACTTTAAAATATATTTCCTATAGCTCCCCATTTTTAACATAGATCAGCACATTCCTACCTATTCTTTTGATCTCCGCAGAAGCTTCGGTTCCTCTCGTTAGGTTACTCCCCTCTCCATAGGCCCTCATGATGTCATGGTTCTTTTTCTCACACTCATGGTCCTTGTGATGGGTGTACTCTTCATCTCCTGCTAGATTACAAGCTGCATGGGGTAATGACGGCTGTCTCACACACCACTCCATTCTAACAACCAGCATGCCATTTGGCACCCCTGGGGAATCCCAGTAAATACTTACCAGCAGGTGGCGTGGTGGTTGAGGCGCTGGACTCTCACATGGCTGACGACGGTTCAAGTCCTGGACCTGGTGGCTTGCTTTCTCAATTTTTCTCTCTCTCTGGTCAAAATAAAAATAAATAAATGAATAAATAAAATTAAAAATAAAATAAAATTTGAAAACTACTTAGGGAGTATTCTTAAATATTTCTACAGTAACAACCTCAATTTCTCTTTTTAAAAATATTTGTTTATTTATTTATGTTTATGTATTTATTTTATAGGAAAGAGAGAGAGGAGAGATGAGGAAGCACCCTCCGTGGGGGATGATTACACCTCACCCTTCTCCTTCATTCTTTTTCTTTTTTTTGGATTTTGGACACACTCACACATGCCTGGTGTATTTCTCAAGCCATCGGGTCTAGACCATGAACCATGAAGTTGGCCGTGTGGGATCCAGCTACCTTACCACTACACTATCACCTGCCCCCTGAAAATTTCCCATTAATTAATTAGTTAATTATCTTTTGCACTTTTAATGATAATCAATTTTACCAAAACTTGATAAACCCCCAAACTTTACAGAAACAGAGCTATGTGCTGATAGTAACACCTGTTCTTTGCATAGCACTGGGCAGTACAGAGCCCTATTTTATCGATTGTTTTGTTTGATCCTCACAATCACATTGAGAAATTGAAGCTCAGACGTCTACCTGGCTTTGTACCACTGTAAATGGAAAGCAAAGACTCACTTCCAGAACCTATGTGTCTCTGTGTCACCACACTGCCTAATGGCTAATAAATAAACCCTTTGACCAGAGTTTGTCTCACTGACTCTAAGAAACTTGATTACATCCCCCTTTTAATCCAATTCATTTACAATTGGGTCAATATTCTCTTTCCTTTCAATCAGTTTCTCCAAACAACTGGCACAAAGAGCTCCATCAGAGGCCAAGTGACCAACTAAAATTCCACTCTGCCAAATGTGGATTTCTTCCACACCTCACTCCCACCCCAACGATATCTTATTAGTGTGGGTGTTGTTTTCAGACCTGACCCCCATGTCTGGTACTGTGGCCACACATAAAGGACTCTCAACATTCTTTGTTGAGGCTTCCTACCAGTTGCCCATCACAAAGTGAGCCAAAGGGCAAATTACCATGGGAAGATCCTATAGAAATGTCAATTTGAGCAGCAGAGGCATGGTGGGTGAATTTCCATGGACTATTGTTGGTGTTGCCTTTGCCAGTTCTGTCTCGTCTGTGTCATGTTACTGCGTGCCAACCTAGGTGCTACCGAAATACAATGTCTCATTGTTTCACTCAGGTTCCACTTCTTTTCTTTTTTTTCCCCTCTTATTTTATTTTTTTTCCTTATTTTTTTAACATTCAATCACTGTATATCTTTACAACATTGAAAACGAATTTTCCCAGCATGAATACCCTGTTATTTCAGTCAAACAAACTAGAAACTGAAAGACTGGAAGGCATAAAAGCATGGACAACAACCATCAATGCCAGAGACAGTTCGGAAGCTGGCAGGAAATGGGGATGCGGGGGCAGGGAAGGAATTAAGGGGGAAAAAATGAAAGAGGGAGAGAAAATATTCACTGGGTTCCATTTCAATGAATAATAAAGGAGGGCCAAGAGATGAGTGGTGAGGCCCTCCAGGCTCTTTCACTTGACAACTAGGGTCCCAGCGTGAGGAGCTGCTGGTCTCCACATCATGGTCATTGGGTATTTGAAGCATGACCACACCCATCTGTTTTTTTTTTTTTCTTTCTTTTTTTAGAGAGATTTTTGCTATAGGGTACATGTGCTCACTGGAGAGAAAGAGAGGGACAGAGAGACAGAAAGTAAGAAATCATCTCCCAGTAGGATGGCCATGCGGCAATCCCTTCTCCATTCTCCTCTCAGGATTTTGGACATGCATGTACATGTACCCAGTGTGAGTTTTAAGCTGCTGGGGTCTGGGACTTGAACTACAGTCAACTACATGGGAGTTCAGCATCGTAACCATTATGCCGTCTGCTGGTTCCAAATACAACCACCTTAAGATGTGGCCTGTTAGTCAGCTGTTGTCTTACACAAGTTGACTTGGTTAAGATTAATTCCAACTCTTTCGGTCTCTACTGAAAATTCTCCAGATAGACTTCTTGCTCCCCATAATGATCAGTATAATTGCAGCATCGGTATCACCTGACTGTAGCAGAACCCTGCAGCAGCGTGGATTCACGTACAGGGCTCATCTCGTTTTTGTTCCTCCATGTTGTTATTATGCAGCATTATCTGTAATAAGTTCTGTTTGCCAAGTAACTTATATTACCTTTCTAAATTAAGAGACTTGGATAGGCCTATATTTTGCTAGCAATTTCAAGTACAAATGAAACTAGATAAAAGTTTTTAATAATCATCAATGTATTGATTATGTTGGATCACACATGACTTCTATGTTTTTCTATGAAAACAGGCACCATGACTTTTCCAACAACCCAATATTTATAATTAGAACTCAAAGAATTAAGGGAAATTGCTCTTTTCCATTGTTCCATTCTAGTATTAGTTGATGAAGAATAATTAAATTACTTGATCCCTAGAATGATGTGATCTAGAATACCAAGTTGGAAGGTGATTGTCTTATTCTGTTTTGTGCTATTATAATAGATTACCTGAGACTGAGTAATTTATAATGAATGGCAATGAATTGGTCCTGAGTTCTGGAGGCTGGGAAGTCCAAGGTTTAGGGGCTGACATCTGCTGAGGGTCTTCTTGCTGCATCATCCCATGGTAGAAGTTAAAAGGCAGAGAGGGTGAGAGAGAGAGAGAGCAACCTATTCCAGCTGTAACAAATCTTCTCCTGCAATAACAGCTCTAGTCCATGCACAAGGGTAGAGCCCTCATGGCCTAAACACCTCTGAAAGGACCCACCTCCCCAAACTGTCACAATGTCTTAAGTTTGGAGGGGACAAACATTCCCTCCAATTTACATTCCTTATGCTACTTTTTAAAGACTATTATTACTTCTCAGATATAGGGAAAAAACAAATCAGTGGGTTTATAAATGGAATGTGGTGGCCACTTTGGTTTTAATTTTCATTCTCTTCCTTCTCCTCCATTTTGGGGAAATAAAAATGAATGCTTGTATATTATTAGTGGGAAAGGAGACATGCTCTGATCATGAACCTTACATTTTCTTTCCACAGTAATAAAAGATTAGTGGCCTTAGTGCCCATGCCCAGTGACCCTCCGTTCAATACCCGAAGAGCCTACACCAGTGAGGATGAAGCCTGGAAGTCATACTTGGAGAATCCCCTGACAGCAGCCACCAAGGCGATGATGAGCATTAATGGTGATGAGGACAGTGCTGCTGCCCTTGGCCTGCTCTATGACTACTACAAGGTAGGCCCCACAGCCCCGCCTCCCCTTTTTCTGCCTCTCAGGCCTTCCCTGCTGGTGGAAGGAAGGGGATAGATTTTTGTCACAGACCAGGGAGCTAATAGTATTTACAAACTCTTCCTGTCCTCATTGGCTTCTCTGCTTCCTATCTATGCAACTCAACTTTACCGCATACCCATGGAAACCCAGTGTCCTAATGCTCATGCCACCTGCCCCTATATATAATTCTTACTTAACATATTACAAATACTTCCTTAGTACTGTTTTTACTTTAGAATTATAATTTTTGGTGAATAAAAAATATTACAGTGTGTGGCTGTACCGTAATTTAGTTACTGCTCATTTGGTGAGCATTTAGGTTGCCTCTGGATATTTCAGTTTTATAAGAAACATTCAGCAATTCTAGATTTTTGTTTTGTAAGGAACATTCTGATGGATGCTTTTTGCAAAAGACTTTGCAGCTATTTTAACACCTATTTTTTTTTTACCTTAATTGTTTCCATTTGTTTTAGTGGGTGTTAATTATGAAAAACTCCTAAAGCAAAATTAATGTAATTGACTTACATTATAAAAAAATACCTACCATGTAATACTTACAAAATAGGAGTATTTTAGGAAATCATATGCGAAACAATGGTCTGTCTCAACCTGGAATGGCCTGCTCCCTTGGAAGCATTAAAGTGTAAAATATGAACAAGTGTAGGGTCCACCAGGTTGTGTGGTGGTTAAGATGCATGGCTGACTGCAGTTCAAGTCCTGGACCCAGAGGCTTAAAAATCACCTTGCGTTATGTGTGAGTGCATGCCCAAAATCCCTAGAGGAGAATGGAGGAGAAGGCATTGTGGTGTGGCCATCCCCCTTGGGAGTGATTTCTCACTTTCCTTCTATCTCTCACCTGCCACCCCCTGGTCCTGTGGGGGGGTGGAATTTAGAGAATGAGATTTATTGCCTGCCTTTGATTGTAAACACCTTTGGCTTTTACTGGGAATTGGCAAGAAGGTGAGAATGGCTGTGTTTACTTTGCTGGTTGGGCACAATGAACTTTTATTTGAGAGTGAGAATAGAATCTCACCTTTCCCTCTCCTATTAAGAGAAATTCAGAGCTGTGGGCTTTATCTCCCAGGAGGAATATTTCCCTTTTAGTAATCTTCAGTCTCTGCTTCCAGTCTCCTCTCTGCTTTCTACTTCCTGTTTCCTTCCAGCACCCTCCACTTTGCAAGTTTTCTTGTCTCCTGTCTGTCCTAAAACAGTCTTCATGCTTTCACAAGAGCTTCCACCAACAACTCTGCCCCTATTCCCAAGCCTACTCTTCTGTCAAAGTTTTTAAAATTACTTTTTTCTTTTCCAACTACTTCCTATTTTCCCCTTTAAAAGTCCAGGAGGGGTCCGGCTGGTGGTGTGATGGTTAAGGTGACTGGATCCCACACGTCTGACTGTGAATACTGTACCCAATGGCTTGAAAAACACGCTGTATGCATGCCTAGAATACCGGCGAGGAAAATGGAAGAGAAGGGATTGCGGTACAACCAGTCCCCATGGGAGGGGGGGAGGTATTTTTTCAATTTCTCTCACTCTAGCTCTCTCTCTGCAGTTAGCGCACATACTCCCCTAGCAAAATTTAAGCAAACATACAAATGAACAAACAAAAATCTCAGGAGGGCTTTGTTCTTGGGGAGATGAATGGAAGCAAAGTCAGGCCTTACCTAAACTGAAGAGCAAGGTGTGGCAAGTGTGAGCGACCAGTGGGTAGGCCTATCTAAGGTGTTTTTAATGAGACTATTATTAGCTCATTTAAACACATCTTCTGTTGTTGGAAAGTGCTGAGAAATATATGAAGGGCATTCCACTGGTAACCAGGCCAGTCTAAGCTGACTTTTCCTCCTTACGAGGAGAGTTAGAATTAGCAGGTTTTTGATAGTACACTTAAGAAAGTGTAAAATTCCATTCATGACTCTTGACATAGCAGCAAGGTTTGTAACTTTGGATGGCCTGCGCTCCAGATGAAAGAATGTTTTAGAGCCTAAACTGTAGTTTGTGTCTATTGGGCTGTTTCTTCTATGGTGAGAGTCACACCTGAAAGAATAAGGTTGAAAACCAGAATGGTTTCATGGCAGGCTTTTCTTCCTGTTTGTGGTTGTTATATATTTTTCACTTTTTCTGAGGATCCCACTGGAAAAACAGAAGGAGAGATTCTGAATGTTTTGAGGTGAAATTTTTCAGTTTATTGAGGATTATGCAGAACCACAGAACTCATCAGATTAGATTACTTCATGTATTAGGACATTTCTTTCTTTCTTTTTTTTTTTTTTTTGAGAGATTTTTGCTATAGGGTGCTTGCACTCACTAGAGAGACACAGAGAAATAGAAAGCAAGAAATACCCCCCACAGGGGGATGTCCATTCAGCAATTCTTGGAATCCCTTCTCCATTAGTCTCTTCTTGAGATTTTGGGCATGCATGTACATGTGCCCAGTGTGTGTTTTAAGCTGCCAGGTCTGGAACTTGAACCATGGTTGACTACATGGGAGTCCAGTGACATAACCATTACTCCATCTGCTGGTCTCTTTTTCCTTTTTCAAATTGGCAAAAGGTCCAGAGACAGAGTGAAAGGGTCGGAGAGAGAAAGAGAGATACCCCCTACGAAGTTATACTTCTTTCTTCTCTATTTCTTCATCAAGTGAAAATTTTGTCTCCACGTGTACATGCACCTGGTGCGTTTCCCAAGCCATTTGGGCCAGAACTTGAAACCTTGATCAGCCCTGTGGGATCCAGCTCCCTTAACCACTAGTCTACAGGGCTGACCATTTCTTGAAAGTTTAGCTTGTTCTGGTCTCATCCTTAGAAGAACGACATTGAAAAGTGATTTGTCCATTGTAATTTCTGAAAATAATCAAGACTTGACAGTGCTATCAACCTTTAAAATCTATCAATGGCCCAGCTGCAGCGTCACAGGTAGTAGGGCAGCACCATGCTATGTTGGAGCCATGTAGAGAGGCCCAGGGCTTCAATCCCAGGTTGCTATGCAAGGTATGCCCATTGGGCACATCCATGATCCTGGCTGGCTAGAAGGCTGTCATGTAGGGGGCCTGAAGGGTGGATCTTAGTGTGGTGGGACCCTATTTGGGGTCTCTCTCTCTCTCATGAAATAAATAAACTTAAAAAAATATCAGTTTATACAATGTTAGAAAATCATGGAAAAAAGTAATTCAATAAAGAGCTATAGACTTTTAACTATAGACTTTTAGCTTAATTTTTATATAAATTCTCTATTGTGAAATTATATGGCTTCTTTTATTTTGCAAGTTTTCCTTCATTTCTGCTAGAAACATTTTAGTGTCTGTTGCAAGAATGAGTGTTTTTCAAGCTACCAACACTGGGACTCAAACCATGTTGTCAGCCATGTGGAATTTGGCACCCTAAACCACCAGGCCATAGGACTGGCCCAATTGTGCCTAATTTATAAATTAAACTTTAATAAATTTTAATACAGGTGTGTGTGTGTGTGTGTGTGTGTGTGTGTGTGTATGGATGTATATATGTATATATGAAAAGCCATAATACATACAGGATTCAGTACTATTCCCAGTTTTAGGCACCCATGGGGATCTTTGGATATATTCCCTTCAGCTAAGAGGGACAATTATGTTAATCAAATGGGAAGGGTTAATTAGGCAGACGAAAGTGACTAATGGGTTCATTGATATTATAGCATGTATCAAAATTTTATTATTTTTTTTAAGGCTGACTAATATTCTCTTGTATGGACATACCACATTTTATTTATCCATTCATCTATTGATGGATACTTAATTGTTCCTCCTTTGGGCTATTGTGAATTATGCTGCTATGAACATGAGTGTATTGTATAGTGTATTGAAATTTTATGTTTGTGTGTCATTTTCAATAGGTAACAAGAGCTATGTTTCATTTGTTTCATTTTTATAAAAAGTTTATTTATTTGTTTCTTTCATGAGTGAGGGAGATAAAGCAAGAGGGAAACAGAGTCAGCACCCTCAACAAAGTCTTGACACCACAATCTACATCCAGCCCTACCCAACCCTGGTTCACAGCCAGATATGTGCCCAGTGTATTCAGTGAGGTCTCCAGATATGAACCCACTTCTTCCCCATGTAGGCCTGTCTTGCAGAGTATCATGTATTATTGCTGTGCCATCATCTGCCTTCCTCATCTCATTTTTTATCTAGTTGTAAGCACAGGTACCCTGTAGACTTTCAAAATCAATACATTGACCAAATTGAACTAAACCCTTAGAATCATCTTATTTTTTAACAAATACTTAACTTATAAAGTACCAGGTACTCTAAGTACTTTAAAAAATTACTCATTTAATTTTATTAAAAACCGGTGAGGTACTAGTCTATATTATACACCATTTTACAGATGAAGAAAGTGGGACAGCTCGAATAGTCCTACTGGGATATTGGCGCATGCCTGGCATGCTTTCAAGACACCCAGTCAGGATGGTTGCTCATGTGGGATCCAGTTCCCTTAACCACAAGGCCATTTGCCAGTCAATCATCTTTCAGGTAATATGGTAGCATCACTTGTTGGCATTATAGTTACTAAGACAATAATGGAAGTGCTTTGGGAAAAAATAAAATTATGACAGTAAGTCCATGAGTCCTGTGTGGGATGACTGATGGTGGTTCAGGTAGATTAGATGCTGACCGGCAGTGCAACCCATGTCCCAGTTCCCCCTCTCTCAGACCAGTACCTGAAGTCCTTCCTGTGGTGGCACAGTAGTAATACAATGGGACCCACATGAGAAAGGTTCTGCATTTGTGTCCTGGGACCTCCCTGAGCACACTAGACACACTTGTGTGTACACATGATCTAGGTCAGCTGAGACTGGGGAGGATACAGCATGAGTCCTGTTGGGCGTTTTTCTCTCTTGGAGAGGGGGCAATCCCTGTTCATTAACATGATCCTTGCTGTAACTCCATGAACAAGAGCAAGGTTCTCTGTTCATGGGCACCTGTGTACACACACACAGAGCTCAGCTCCCCCCCATTCACTCCCATGATGGCGAGGACATGGGAGGTGCTCAGGGCCAGTTGACGAGTTGAGCAGCTCGATCACATTTATTGTGGCCCCGAGTTTAGCACCATCCCTTTGTCTCTGGCTCCACTGTCATTGTCACTCAGGCAACTCATCTTTAACCAATCTTTGGCAATAGCAAACTTTGCCACTTTGCCTAGAGAAAGTTACATTTTAGTTCTTTTGCTTGAGGTGGTGTCCAGCTCTGAGGAGGTCACAGTTGCACATATCAAAGCCTGACTGATGGTTGATGCTTCCAGGTTCCTCGAGAGAAGAGGCTGCTGCCTATAAGCAAAGCCAGTGACAGCCAAGAAGACCAGGAGAAAAGGTATGGTGTGTGTGAAGGAACATGCCTGGCCCCCAGAATATCTCTTTTTCTGTGATTGTTTTTAAACAACTTAATTAAACTGTAAGTTTTGTTTTTGAAAAGCAGTGAGTTCAAGAAACAGCCTTTTCTATTTGTATTTTGGAGTGGAGACCCCAACCAGATCTGTCAGTAGAGAGAAGGTGCATTTTTACTTGGGCATTGAAAGCATCATTAGCAGACTCTTCAGATACCAACTCTCAAGGAGCCTTAAAATCCCAAGAGCTAGGGGCATGGTGTGTAAGGCACTGGACTCTCACATGGCCTATCACAGTTAGAGGCCTGGACCTGGCAACCTAAAAAACACTGAGGGGCAGGGGTGCATGTCCAAAATCCTGAAAGGAGAATGGAGGAGAAGGGATTGCGATGTGGCCATGCCCCCTAGGGGGGGAATTTCTTACTTTCCTTTTCTCTGTCTCTCTCTGGCAAGCACACATGCCCTACTATGGAAAAAAAAAAAACTAAAAAACAAAACAAAACAAAACAAAAATACCAAGAAAAATCCCAAGAACTAGAGATGATATTCTGAGCAGGCAGCCCTCTGCTGGGCTTTTTTGATCCCTCCTGCCTTGGCTCTATAACTGTAGCCCTTGAAAGGGGATGAGACATTTCAAGGATTACTCTGTTTTAAATAATTATTTATTTATTATTATTATTTCTTAATTTGCCGAGAGAGAGGCAAAGTGGAAAAACGAGTCATGTCTGGGACTCTAGCCATGAGAAGCCATGTGCAAGTCCATTGCATTAACCACCACATCACCCGTTGACTCATTAAAGGACTGCTTTTGATGAAGGGGAATGGAAGGAGATTGGGCTGTTTCTCAGCAGAGGAAGGCATTGGTGTTGTGTGAGGAGCAGTAGCAAGCGCTGTGTAGGAATAGGACAGGAGAGCTGTTAGGAGATCATTACATCACTCCCCTTTCCTGCCTCCTGACTGCAGAAGCAGGTGAAAATGTAAGGCACAGCCAGATAAATTGAGATTTAAAAAACCAAACAAAGGAATCAGCAGATGGCATAATGGCTATATCACTGGACTCCCACATAGTCAACCGTGGTTCGAGTCCCAGACCCGGTGGCTTAAACTCACGCCAGGTGCATGTGCATGCATGCCCAAGATCCCGGATGGAAGAGAAGGGATTGTGGCACGGCCATCCCCGCTGGAGGGTGATTTCTTGCTTTCTGTCTCTCTGTCTCTTTCTGGCTTTCCGGTGAGCACACGTGCCCTATAGCAAAAACCTCTCCAAAGGCAAAAACAAAAACGAAAACAAAAAAAACCCAAACCAGAAACAGTTTAATTTTCCTTTTTTTTTTTTTCCAGCCAGAAGGTGTATGCACTCACCATAGAGAGACAGAGAGAGGGCAAGTGAGAACGCACCCTCCCCGTGGGGAATGGCCGTGCTGCTATCCCTTCTTCTTCAATTCCTTTGGGGATTTTGGGCATGCATGCACACCTGCTCAGTGTCTTTTTCATGCTATCAAGTTCAGCCCTGGATTTGAACTTTACCTTAACCACCACACCACCGGCTGGCCCAACAGTTTACTTCTGAGGAAGCCAATTGGAGAATGTGACTTGGAATCTGCTCCTTGCAAGCTTTCAGTCCTGACGTAGGTGTGTTCTACCCACCCAGCCCCAGGCAGGACTGCTTGCCTCTTGTAGCCCGGCAGGAGCACTGGGAGAGTTCCCTTTCTTTGGTGAGGATGATCTGGACAAAAAGAAGGGACTGAACCACCTTGCTCAGCTACTTCCCCCAAAGTAACCCATCAAGTAAATTTTCCCGCCTGTCATGGGGGGAAATCTGAAGCCAAGATATTAAAACCTACCAGCACATGGGCCAGAGTCTTACCTGGCTGTGAGAGGAACTGCTAATGGCATTATGACCTTGCTCTGTGCTCAGCAGCAGGGGCCACTCTACCAACCAGCAGCCCAGAGCTGTGCTTCCCCTCCAAGACACATCCTCAGAAGATTAAAGCTGTCTGCATCTGATTCATGGTTCTGCCAAGGATATACTGAAGCTCTAGGATGCCATCGGGTCCTGGGATCTTGTTGGCAGGAGAGATGACAGGACAGAAGAGGTTGAAATCTTTAGGCCTGTAACTTGATCTAGCCAGCTTTATTGATCTAAGCTATCTTGCTGTCGGCCTAGTCCTGTACCAGTAACCATAGCGGGGTCAAAGCAAACAGTCTAAGCTGCCTGCTCTGTCTACATTGTACTTAATAGACTAGAGAGCCCGTTTTCTGTTAAAGCATCCTTTAGAACAGCATGTTAAAGTGGCTGTCACTTTTTTTTTTTTAATTGATAGAGGGCATATGCACTCACCAGAGAAAAGAAAAGAAGGAGGAGGGAGAGAAAACAGGGGGATAGGGTCACACAGCAATACTTTTCCTCCATTTCTCCACTCCATCAGGATTTGGGGCATGCATGCACGTGCCTCATGTGGTTTTTCAAGCCATTAGGGCTGGGATTCAAACCACAGTCAGCCATGTGGGCTTTGGCTCCCTACACACAAGGCTTAACCACTGGCTATGGGCCGGCCCTACTCATTATATTTTAATGGTTATTTTTATGATTTCTGCAGAGTTCCTTTTAAAAAAGCTGACAGTGAGGTTTAGACTAAACCACCTTGTAGAGACTAATTATAACTCAATAAACTTCCCATTGAATGTAATTGGAAGGATATGATCTTGATCTGCAGTATATTCGTGAATTAAGATGCCACGTGCTAACATGATAACTGTAGATTGAAGTTTCCTCCTTGAAAAATAACAGAATCATGATGACATAATAAAAACATTTAAAAAGTGTATTTAATGCACTATTCTTAGCATTACATTTTTCTTATATTTGATTCAATTTTAAATTCTATTGCAAGTAAGTCAGTATTGCACAATAATTCTTTGTTCTGTTTATCCATTTTTGGATGTCTTTTTGAAGTTCTTGAGCAGTAGCTTCGAAAGTTAATACTGTTCTACAGAGTATTCAGGGACTTCAAAAAGTTTGTGGGAAATGGAATTAAAGCACAACTTTATTTTGGTGCAAAAAATGATTGAATTCTTTGCATAGTTTTCTCATTTTTATACTAGACATTTACACGAACTTTTTGAAGATTCCTAGTTACACATTCTAGGGTGATAGTCTATTATTTCCTGGTGATAGAAATATAACAATTTGACTAGATTTAGGCTGGGTCGTTGGGAAAGTCACGACACATTTTTGCATAGAAAAACAGAAAAATACATCCTGACTTTGCCGACAACTTCATATAACTCTATAGCCTACTTACTTTTTTGTTGTTGTTTATGAAAACACCCCAAAATATTTTGACTTGTGTTCTTTGTCTAAAATTGATTATGTTTTGCATGAAGTAAAGATTTAAGAACTTTGGCCTGAAATAGACTACCTATGGAGAAGTTGGTTGGTTAACTTTAAATATTTTGGCCATGCTGAAAGCACTGTACCTGGGCAAAGTCCAGAGTGGAAACTTGAGTATTTGATAATCAATCAAAGTAGATCAACCCATCCACACCCACCTTGCAGGACACTACCCACAAGTACTCAGTGAATATTCCTCTACAATATGGTCTGTGGTGAAAAGGGTTTGGGAAATCCTGGGTTATAATTGAAGATCTTGATTGCATTCATGATGCTTATGACCCACTTGGGTGATCTTGTTATGGCGATTTAAAAAAACAAAGTATTTATTCTATCTTATTTATTAGTATTCTTCTTCAATTTGACCAGAGAGTGACAGAGAGAGAGAGAAAAAGAGAGAGAGCAAGCTGCCAGGTCTGGGACTTGAACCATGGTTGGTCAAGTGTGAACCCAGTGCCTCAACCACCACACCACCTACCAGGCCCCTCTGGCAATTTTCGTTGTTGTTTCTGTTTGTTTTTCAATACTGACTTTATCATAGACTCCCTTTTCTGGAGAAGCATCTATTAGCATTCCACGCAGTATTCCAAATGATAAAATTTAGGAAATGCTGATGTAAATGGGTGGTCTGGGTTTTGGCATTCCCAGCTAGCTGGATTCAGATTAAACTTAATTTCTAAATTTTCACTGTGTCTTATATACAGATTCGTGCTATTGATTTGAACAGGAAAACAATGATTACTTAAAACCAGAATGTTTGCAGATTTCTGATTTTATTCCTCATGGGATTATTTCTACAGACCTGTGCCAGACTCAGAAGTCGATATTTTTCTTTTGGCTTTGTTCATGCTGAGCCATTCTTTTCTCAAGTTTCACTTTGAAGTTTTATCTGAAAAATCAAAACTAAAAATACCAAGGCCTGCTTGATAGGTAGGCAAGCCCAGAGGCAAATGGACTTCCTTCTTCACTGAGAGGGGTCAGGAGAACCCGATTCTTGGAAGAACCAATTTTATTTGAATAATTCTGTTAATTATAATTAAGAGAAGATTGTATCTCTAGATGCCAGTAAGCTTCAGAAAGCACACACTAGATAAAAATCTAAAATGTAAACAATCAGACACCTGAGACAGGGATTCATGCAAAACATATATTTTCCTCACCATGTTTCTCTCCAAAAGAATCCATAAATAAGTGAGAAGTAGCCCCTGAATTTTGCTGGCCTAGAGGGACTTTGCTAGTTTATTTTACCACCAACACTATCTCATTAACAAGCTCCTCTTTGCTTCTGCTCTGTCCTAGAATTTCTTAGTAGAAATAAAATTAATTTTCTAAACCCCCTCTTTGCTCTGTACCAGTCAGGGAGTCTGTGATCTGGGAGATCTTTTGCAGAAACCCAGTTACACCACTTCCTTAAACCCAAAAATCATTCAATGCCAAGGATATCGATGAGGTCATGTTCTTTCTTTTTTAAAAAGAATTGTTTACAATTTTATTTATCATTATTGTTATTTTAAAATTTGCTACAGGGCATATGCACTCATGAGAGAAAGAGAAAGAGAGAGAGAAACAAAGAGAGAGAGAGAGAGAGAGAGAGAGAGAGAGAGAGAAAGTGAGAAAGCAAGCCTCTAGGTCCAAACTGTGGTTGGCCATGTGGGCGTGCAGCACCTTTAACCACCATGCCACCTGCTGACTCTGAGATCATGTTATTTCTATTTGGTGGATGAAAAAATATTTATATTTAAATAATTATCCACTTTATTTTATTTTATTTATTATTATTATTTTACAAATTTCACCAGAGAGAGAGGGAGAGAAAAAGGAAAAGTGAGAAAGCAAGCCACCAGGTCCAGGATTTGAACCATGGTCAGTCATGTGGGAGTCCAGGGCTCTTAACCATCATGCCACCTGCCGGCCCCTGGTGAAAATATTTCAATCATAGGTTCTCATTATATTAATTTTTTTGTTTTATGTAAGTAGTTTAGCCCACAAAATGGTGAAAAATATCCTCCCCTCGCCACCCCTCTGTCACTTGACCATGTTTGTCCTCTACCTCTCCTGACTTTTTTTGTATTTACAACTTTTTCTGTTGAAAGTTTGCAAACATATACAGAAGTACAAAGAATAACATCATGAACCTTGAAATGCCTTCCCATCCTGCAGTTTAGTAATTAGATCAACTTGATGTCTATCTTTTCTCTTCCTCCTTTATAAAAAATTGCAGTAGTACGTAAAATTCCAACATCATGTCATTTCATCTCTACTTCTGAATTGAATCTCCCAAAAATAAGGATATTTCATTACATAAGTTCAAAATCATTGCCAAACAATTCAACACTAATTATCTTAATGTTACCTAGTTTCCAGTCCATATTCAATTACTTAAAAAAAATCCCATTGCTTCCTAAAATACTTCTTTGGTTTGTTTGGTGTAGGATCCAAACAAGATCTACTTATCATATTTGGTTATGACTTTTAAATCTCTTTTAAGTTTATAACAGTTCTCCAGTCATCCTCCCTTGGTTCATTGTTGAATTTAGATCAGCAGGTGTGCTACATTCTGGTCTGATTGCTTCTTTTTGATGTTAAGGCATTCTCCCAGCTCCTGTCTATCCTGACAGCTGAAAGGTAGATGTAATGGTTTGAGTAGGTTTAGGGTCAACTTTTTTTCTTTCCCTTCCTTCTTTCCTTCCTTCCTTCCTTCCTTCCTTCCTTCCTTCCTTCCTTCCTTCCTTCCTTCCTTCCTTCCTCCCTCCCTCCCTCCCTCCTTCCCTCCCTCCCTTCCTTGCTCCCTCCTGCCCTCCCTCCTTCCCTCCCTCCTTCCTTCCTTCCTTCCTTCCTTCCTTCCTTCCTTCCTTCCTTCCTTCCTTCTTTCCTCCCTCCCTCCTTCCCTCCCTCCCTTCCTTGCTCCCTCCTTCCCTCCCTCCTTCCTTCCTTCCTTCCTTCCTTCCTTTCCTTCTCTTTCTTTCTTCTTTCTTTTTCTTTCTCTTTTTCTCTTTCCTTTCTTTCTCTTTATTTTTGGAGTAGTACTTTATAGCATTATTGGGCCGAGTACTCCACATGACGGTTGGGGGAGGGGCACACACCAAGTGTCCTATTTCTAATGTTGCAAAGATCCCTTCATCCTGAAGTTCACCGGCAACTTCTCTCCTCGCGGCATTAGCCTCCACTGAATACTGCCTGCATCGGTTATTTTATTAGGCATTCGAAATGGTGATTTTCCTAACTGTCATGTTGCGGGGTTGGGTTTGAACACACAGAAGCTGTCTTGGCCCCAGTGAAGCTCAGAATAATTTGAGTGGAGGAGAAAACCGAGTGCAGGTCTTAAAGACTGTTCCAGTGAACCTTTCCCTAAATCAAGACCACCTGGAGAATTCCAAGCGGGAATCCTACAGCGCCAGCGTCCCCGAGAGCCCCGCCGTCATCCCGGTGTCCGGAATCACCGTGGTGAAAGCGGAGGATTTCACACCGGTTTTCATGGGCCCCTCCGTGCACTACCCGCGGGGCGATGGGGAGGAGCAGCGTGTGGTGATATTTGAGCAGACTCAGTATGACGTGCCCTCCATGGCCACCCACAGCACCTATCTCAAGGATGACCAGCGCAGCACCCCGGACAGCACCTACAGCGAGAGCTTCAAAGACGGACCGGCAGAGGTGAGTGCGGCCGCTCCTGAATTCCCACACCCTGCTTCTCTGCTAGTTGGCTTGCTCTGTTTGCTTCTAAGTAGGATAAAGGAATTAAACTGAGTTTAGGTTTGCTTTTGTCGCAATGCGTTTGTGGTATTCTGGTAGTTTTTCCTTTCTAAACAGGTATTAAAAAGCCAGGGTGTGTCTTATATGCATGGAGGACTATTTCTATTTTTGGTGACTTTTAGATAACATTTTTCCTTTGTTTTAGTGCTAGTGTTCAAATGAAATATTTAGGAGGAATTAAGAGATATTTGTATGGAAACTCTTGACTTTGCAAAGTTTCCGCCTTGACCTCTAGTCTGTAACCTTCCAAATGGCAGATAGCTAAAGAGGTTGCTTCACTCCTTGTGTTCAAAAATAACCTAATGCTTTAAAAACTTGTTTGATTGACTACTCAAGAAGGAATTTTGTGTTATCAATAATTAAGTGTGTGTGCATGTGTGTACTTGGAACGTTACAGTGGAAACTGCATGTTCTAATGTGTCTATTGGACTTACAGAAACAATTGTCTTTGCTTGTTTGTTTTAAATGCACAGTTCTACTGCACGATTTGAGAATCTTGGTAAGGGGATACAGTTGTGTGACAACCGTTAGAATCAAGAAATGAAAAGTCTCTTCACGCTAAGAGTCTCTCAAGTCACCTTGCACGTGACGCTCACCCTTCTACCTTGTTCTTGGCAAGCACCCAGTTGCTGCCTTTTGTCACTCCAGTTTGCCTTTTTAAAAATTTTATATAAATTGAATGATCAAGTAGATAATCTCTTATGTTATCTTCTTTCACTTAGTGTATTTCTGAGATTCATTCATGTCATTAATAGTTTGTTGTTTTTTAATTGCTGAATAGTATTCCGTTGAAAGTGTGTGTCACAATTTATTTGTTCATCAGTTGATGGAATGGAATTTGGTTGCTTTTAGTTTTAGGCTTATGAATTTTAGGCTACCGACATTCATATTTATGTTTTTTTTTAAGTTTTTGTTGCTTGTTTTGAGTTGTTTTTTTTTTTTTCGTTTTGTTTTTGTTTTTGTTTTTGCCATGTGGTGCTCACCAGAGAGACACAGAGAAAGGGAAAGTGAGAAATTACCACACACACACACACACACACACACCCCATACACACACAGGGGACATGGCCATGCTGCAATCCCTTCTCCTTCAATCTCCTCTTGGGATTTTGGACAGGCACACACACACACCCAGCATGATTTTCAACCCACAAGATCGACCATGTGAGAGTCCTGTGGCTTAACCACACTGTCACCTGCTGGCCCCCTTGTATATGTTTTAAGGTGGACATACGCTTTCATTTTTCTTGGTTAAATGAATGTCTAGTGCTGGAGTTGCCGGCCACGTGGTAATGCATGTTTAACTCTGTAAGGTACAGTGTTTCAAAGTGGCTGTGCTGTTTTAATTTCCACAGCAAAGTATGAGGATTCGTGTTTCATACAACCTTGCCACAACTTGGTATTGTTAGTCTTTTCAACTAGCTAGTTTAGAGAATGTGTGGTGATATCTCCTTGGGTATTGAATTTGCATTTCTCTGATGTCTAGTGATGTTGCGCATCATTTCACGTGGCTATGTAGCCCTTCTCATAGCTTCTTTTGTGAAGTACCTATTTATATCTTTTGCCCAGTTTTTAAACTGGACTATATGGTTTCCTTTAATTATGATGTAAGAATTCTTTAAATAACGTGACTATAGGCCTGTTATCAGTTATGTGCTTTGCAGTCTGGTAGCCTGTTTGTTCTCTTAAGTATGTCTTTCACTGGGCAACAGTACCTTTATCAGTTGACTTTATCAATTTTGTCTTTTGTAGTTTATGCTTTAGGTGTACCATTG